CAGTCGAGTCAGAGGCAGTCCGAAACAGAGTCGCGTTCAGACAATTACTACTAAACCTGATTGTTCGTACTAACACTTTCTACTTCTCTGTATATATTCCTGTTTGTAATATATCTGCGTTATTCCATATCCCCCTTCGAGTTCTTCTTTATTGGTTCTACCTTGGACTATCATCGTGCTACAAGGAACCGGACCATAACACCAAGAAGTTTCGGTTGTCTTTTCCTGATTCTGTATATAAGTGTTCTTTTTCTTACCATTTTCTTTAAGACTTCCTTATTTGTTTATTCGTTTCTCTGGAATTCTTAGTGTCGTTGCTTGGTTGGTTGTTTTGTTTTATGGCATATCAAAACCTCAGTGGGTCATTTAATGCCAACAAAATGTTTGCAATAGATTCATTGGAAAAAAAAAAGGTGTATATGTATACATATATATTTGAACCATTTTTCAATTACTCATAGTTATCAGTGTTAGCACCCACTGAGTATAAAACTGAGCACGCCAGAGTGGCGCACTACCTGCGCTAGTAGATATGCCGCTTTTACGGGAAGGAAATTGCAAGGAATTGGTATTATTAGGCTGGTGCAAAATAATGACGTAATAATGTCGTTTTTTGACGTATTTTTTAACGTCAAAAAACGACATTATTACGTCATTATTTTTGCACCAACCTAATACTATCATCCTGAACCCGTTACAGTGATAAGATCGATAACAATTTTGGGCGGCTTTACAATACACTAATTGCCCAGTCATCATGATCAAATACTACAAAAACAGAATGTGCTTTCTTATTGATATGGCAGTCCCTGCAGATTGTAATAAATCTTTGAAGATCATCATAAAGATATCAACATACAAGGATCTTGAAGTGGAAATCTCAAAAATGTGGCACATGAGGACATCAATAATTCCTGTTGTAGTTGGAGCCCTCGGACTGATTGGAAAAAGTACCTACAGACTCATTGAAAAGATCCTTGTTACCCTATGCCTTAAAGAAATACAAAACAATTGTACTCACCAGTACAAATCACACATTACGAAGGGCTTTATTTATGTAAAATGTGTTTCCTTGCTTGTATTTTTTTTCTTTTTTACAAGATTGACCAGTGGAAATGTCATGAATTGAGTAGGTCTCTGGTTGGGGCCCGGAAGGATATGTGTATACAACAAAAATCAAAGGAAATAATAATAATAATAATAATAATAATAATAATAATAATAATAAATTTTAGCGTGAGTTAAAAATTTAATAATAGTGATGGAAATGAACATGTAAAAACCAACTGGAAAATTACTCTCATTTTTTTCTTTATCGATAATAATAATAATAATAATAATAATAATAATAATAATAATGATACTGAAACTGCAAAATACCTAAAAAAAACAGCAAAGACGAATGCAACCGACCAGATACAGAAGCGATGGCAAGATAAACCGCTTCATGGCCAATACTCTGCCCGTACCAAACAAGCTGACGTAGACAAAACCCGTACCCATCAGTGGCTACGTAGTGCAGGGTTGAAAGCTGAAACTGAAGGTTTTATCCTTGCTGCACAGGACCACTGCTTGCTAACTAGGAATTATCATACACATATACTAAAATATTGTGTCAGCCCAAAATGCTGATTCTGTGATAAATATCCAGAAACGATTGATCACCTTGTATCAGGTTGCACGGTGTTGGCACCCACTGAATATAAAACCCGACATGACAGAGTGGGCCAATATCTGCACTGGAAAATCTGCAACTTCTACGGGAAGGAAACTGAAAGAAACTGGTATGAACACCACCCAGACCCGATTACGGAGATAGGACCTGTTACAATTCTATGGGACTACACAATACACACTGACAGAACAATCCAAGCCAACCGACCAGATATTGTTATTAAAGACCACAAACAAAAACGGTGCCTCCTTATTGATATGGCAGTCCCTGCTGACTGCAATGTATCTTTGAAGATATTCAAAAAGTTGTCAAAGTACAAGGAGCTTGAAATAGAAATCTCGAAAATGTGGCAAATGAGAACATCAACAATCCCTGTTGTAGTT